TATATATATATACACACATATATATATAACACAAACAGTGATTCAGTCTACAATAATATATTCTCCATTTATTCGGGCAGACCTCTGATTACTTCACGAAATCAAAGTATTCAGCAGCTGCTTGTTACAACCATAAAATAATATATTATTTCTTGTACAAACGATCCAACATTCCCTCAAACTCAAACCCTCTCGTACCAAAGACAGGAAGAAGTACAATGTTTAAACATTTATTTTTTGGTTAACATAGGTGTCTTTACGCCCCCATCGACACAATTTTGGATCATTTAGGAGATCGGCTTCCAACCCTGTCTGTAAGGGGCCAACCAGCTCTGAGATTGATACAACACCCCACCAAGGTACTCGATAAAAATTTTATTTCTCCCACTCGGTAATCGAACCCGGGTCTCCTGCATGCGACGAAAAAAGCACCATGACGCCACAGACAACCGTTTAAAAATTTTTGTAAGGAGTCTAAGACCAGAATCAAATCAGAGAGTATTTGTCTCTGGTCAAATAAAAACTGTTGAAAACAAAGAGCATTGGAAAAGGTAGAGAAAACAATACAAAATTATTTTTAAAAAGAACGGAATTTGAAATTTTGCTGAAATTAAATGACAATGTAAATGTGAGGCAGCGTGGAGAAATCAGGCACTCTTCAAAATACAGAAATCGGAGAAACAACAGGCATTTTTCCGCCAGTTCAGAAATTTTTACTGAATTTTATTTTTTATCTCAACCTCCTTTATGTCCATATAAAAACACATTTCCACGTGAATTTTACTGAAAAACACTGATTAAAATTAAAGGCACAAAATATGTCATTTTTTCTGTTTTCAAGGACTCTTTAGTTATTGGAGTTATCAAACTTTAGTGGCCATTTTCTCTCTAATTTTACCACTGAAACCAGGCGACATCACTAACTTCAATCGCAAATATCTTGAGATATATTCAAGATAGATGGATGATATATATTTTATTGGAAGAAAGACATATAAATCAACTTTCAGATGATACCAATAACCCCAAATGCTAAAAAATTGACAGGTGTCGGATTCCAACGCGTCAAGATACAATTAATATAAAGTATGGCTCCACGTATAGACGAAACAAAATTTTTGTTCTCAACAGTTTGGCAGTAGATGCAACTTCAAGATTAATGTACCACTGGGTAGTGCAATAAGATCATCCAACTATGGCACGCAAAATGTCAGCTTGTCTGTCCCGCTGCCTCGCTAGCATGTGTGAAAAACCCAAACTATGACTAAGAAGATGTGTTTGTAGCATGTTTGGGACTTGGTCACCAAATTTATTGGTCGCTTATAACTTAGCACAAGGGGGCTATCCCGAAAAATACTGTTTTGAGAAAATCGAAGGTAAAGTTTTCGGACCCTAGTTCAGTTTCTTTAAAAGACAAGGAGCGTTTTCTCTATAACCAAACAAATATACACACCAATGAAACCAAACTTCTCCTACAGGTAGGGCAATGCCCATTTTTGGTGATGGTCAAGATTTCTGGGAACTCCCAAAATCTGGGTTAGCCTGCTTGTCCTTAAAAAAAAGCGACCAATTGAAATCTACATTCCAAATGAAACGTGCTATCCTAGACTTTGTAACTTCTAGATAATATATCGCCTCGCTTGCTCACTTTTAAAGTGACAAATCTTTCATTTAAAACAAAATGTACTCAGTCTACTAAACTGAACAAACTACAGTCAAACCTGTGTAAGACGGCCACCCATTGTCGAGGAGAAAAGTGGCCGTATAAGACAGGTGGCCGTCTTAGGCAGGACTGATCAAGAGGAAGAAAACAAACCATTCCCTTCTGAAGTCTCAATCGAAAGTAGCCGCATTTCTTGTTTTTGTTGTTGTTGGTTTGTATTTTGTTTGTTATTTTTATTTTGTTGCTGATTTGGCGCAAGAGTGACAATAAAACTAAATGTATGAGACGAGGAAGACCGAGTGCCATGTTAAAACAAACACATGGGTTGGAGTCACTAAGGTGGCCGTCTAAGACAGGTGTTATTGCTTAGTGTAATAGGGGTTGTGTGTTAAAATATGGTGGCCGCGGCCGCATTGGACAGGTGCCCGTTTTACACAGTTAAATTACAGAGAAAAAACGCAAGGGGGGAAATGGAAAGTGGCTGTTGGTACAGGTGGCCGTCTGGGCAGGTTTGACTGTAGTTAACTAACCAACCAGCACTCGGCACTCTCTCAGTCATGCAGACTATTCTGTGAAAAAGTGGGGGTTTTTTTAACCCTCTTTTCCTACCGGGCCAAAATCCACCACTGGCCCCTTTTTTTACGCCCCTACCCCACCACAGGAAAATGTCAAAAAATCCAACTAAACACACACAAACCATACCATATGGCCCATCAAACTGAAGTTTAAAAAATAACCAGTCAGACGGAGGTACAATACTGAAATTTTTTTCCAATTATGTTAAATTCTAAAACTGATTATGCAACATCGAAGGTGTCGTATGAAATCAACAAGTTTCCAGCTTTGAAAGGTCATAACTAACAAAGTACAACAACAGCATCATTCAAACTTCCCAGGTAGGTTGCCTCAAGTCATGCAAAGAAACGCTGAAAGTTATGTATGTGTAAAGAATAGAAGTGAAAATATGAGACATATACTGAAGTGAGGGGAGCACATTTCTGTTCAATTTAACATTTCGAAGGGGACAGAAAAAAAGCGATGAAATGACTCAAAATCATCTGTCAGTGCTAAATTTTCTTTCACATCCACCAACAGGAAGTCTCTTCTATTATTTCGAAAACATGGATCAGCCGAAAATTTCGTGCCTTTTCATTACTGGATTGGAATTGATAGCGAGCCACTCGAACCGTATTTTGTGACTCTCTGTCCAGCGAGGCCATGTTCGCGAGCCGTGCAGGTCACGGTAGGGAAAGTGTTAAACAATTAATATTGATTACGTAACACATTTACACCAAGAGTCACAGGTATAGAATGCAGATTCTTTTAAAAAAGTTAACCCCCCCCCCCCCAAAAAAAAAACCATAACAAAATCAAAGAACATAAACAACAAGAAGAATGCTGAGACAAAAAATTACAATCCTTCATGGCTTCAGTTACACTGAAAAAGTATTGCTAGCAGTATCACATATTGCTATCGGTGCACTACTGCTATATATTTGCTATCAGAGCACTACTACTATATACATGTATTGCTATCAGTCAGTGCACTGAAACATATTGCTATCTCAGTGCACAAATACGTAACTATTATCAATTATCAGAGCCTTAATCCATACTTCTCTCTCTGGGCACTAACATATATTGCTATCGGTGCACTACTACTATATAGTATATACTGTTATCAGTGCACTACCACATATTGCTATCTGTGCACTACTATATATTGCAATTGGTGCACTACCGCATATTCTTTTCTTAGTGCACTATCACGTACTGCTATCAGTGCACTACCGCCTACATATTCTTTTCTCAGTGCATTACCACATACTGAGATCAGTGCAATAGCACATATTGCTTTTAATGTACATATCTATGTCAATGCACTTCCAAATAATATTGCTATCATCAATGATTGATTGCATTTTCAAAATAAATGCACGTTTCACCAGGCACCCAACCAAGGTTCCAAGGAATATTCCTGGAAGTTTCCCACAACCCTCACACACTTCAAAGTTAAGTAACTGAACGTTGAACCAGAGGTCTGTGGCAAAGAGGGCAGGAATTTTGTTGTCTTTTAAGCCAAGAATGCGAGTTCAACTCCCGTTTAAAGATGATACTTAATTGAATATTTCCATCAACTAGGATTGAGCCCACACAACCCTGAAAAGCAAGGACAGAGTAGTCCACCACAGACTGAGACAGTAGTTAACATTCCATCAGGCTCACCAACATTACATCAAGCTACTTAATTGAAAGTTCTAATGTTGTATGCCCGTGCCCCGAATGACATCATTTAGTTAGTTTTAGTAAGTGTTTTACGGCACTTGCAACACAATAGGGTCATATATGACATCATTTAGATCATTTAGGAGGTGGGATGTTCAGATGACCCTGTCTGTGAGGGCCGACCCGGGCTGAGAGGGATACCATATCTGTCCCCGTTGTTTTAAGCACGAAAAATTCTGAATTTATGCAAACTGAGCCCAAAATGTGAAATTATGCAATTCTGTTAATTTTAGCAAAGAATAATAAAGGAAAATAATCAAAAATTATGCAAAAAATGATCAAATTTGGCTAAATTAAGCAGGGTGCATAAAACCCTGGGAACAGCCACATGCCAACAGACAGACAGAAAGAAGGAGTTTAGTTTAGTCTTAGTAAGGTTTTTACGGCGCTCGCAACTGCATACGGCCATATGAGCGCCAAGGGATGGATGTCAACAGAGAAGTCCAAATGGGGAATCAGGCTTACTCTGCTCACCTCTCTGGCCTCAACAGCACGAAGTTTACTTCGACTATCAAGGCACTCCAGAAATAGTGGGTCACAATAGTGTGACAAACATACAAAAGAAGTAGAGGAGAATGACAATAGTAAGGATGAGGAAAGAAAAAGCAGCAGCTCGCCCTATGTTGTTCCGGCACAGTATGAGCATGACATTGATGAATCAGCCCATTTACCATTCTATTGTGCATAAGAACATGTTAATATCCCCCCCCCCCTTTTTGGGAAAGGCCTAAAGATACTTCAGACAGAAGGATATTCTCAATAAAAAGAAATCTCCCTAAGTGGGAATCAAACTCAAGCCTTCTGCATGTCACAGCAAAAGCGCCTGCAATCACTTTGCCTCAGACACAGAGGTCACACATCAGACTCAGACTGAACTTGCTCAATAAACAAAGAATGTGATCAATAGAAAGACATGATTATTATGAATGTGATCTTGGTAAAAAAAATTATTTCACAGAAGTTCACAGAGCAGTACACCCTCTACGTTTCTCCCCTGAGAAACTGAATACATATAAACAAACTGAATATATGAATAATACAGATCACAGAAATATGCATTAAAAATATAATTTGCCAAATATTTTATGACCAGAAATAAAACTGATAGGTGAACACTTCTGTCACTCACATATTTTTAAAAAATGTCAATTACAAAAACAAGCAACAGCATATCATCACATAATCAACAAAATCTAAAGGATCATTTTAACAAAGTTAAAAAATTTGGTATTTTCTTTTGGGCCAACCAACTTTAACACTTTGCCATCATATTTTGGGGAAAATCTAAAGAAACTGGGAGGTGGTAAACGTCGCCAATCCACGAGATAAGGTGGCAGAGAGTTAAAAGCTCACCTCTCAGTCTCAGCTGTGTTGAAAGCAGCCTTCCTTACAGCAGAGAAAGGATAGTTCTAAACAACCTGTTCTGCACTGAGTGAACACACACAACATACAAATTATAATTATAATTATGAAATTATATAAATCATTAATTTTTCCAAATAAAAATGTTTCTACCAATAAAAATGTTTCATACTGGTTCTTTTATTAATTAAAAGCATTTTCAAAAACAGTATCTTCTGTATTATTGTACTAAAATCACAGCGCTATCACAAATGAAGTATATTGCCTGGTAGGAACAAAATACAGGATAATACGGCCATGATTATAAAAGTATAAATTCTCTCAAAACTTGTCCATAGTCACAATAAGCAGCCCATGTGCCATAAGAAGACATTCAACTTTCAAAACTTTTGCAGTTCGCAACATACACAGATTGAGAGCCACAGCAGAGAGTCATTCACTTCTCCTGGACTTTCTGTACTGACTGGACGAATGGGGCTATTGTTTTCTGTCCCCTCAGTTACCGAAACTAAATACGTCACAGAATTAGCATAAAGTACTTTTTTGTTCTAAACGACTGCATTCATTTAATACGATTCTTAATATGTCTTTCGAATGATCTGATCATTTAAAGTCGATATATAAATTAATAGATTCTGAATTACACTGTTATCATTGTGAGAAAGTATAGTCCAAACGTCCCGTTAGTTACCGTGGAATAACCCTACGACAAAACCACGTTACACAGCGTCCCAATTGAATACCTCATCAGATGTAATGCTGTAGATAGCCAGAAACTTCCCATATACACACACATACCTTTATCGGAATGCTGGAAAAATTTCCTTTATTCCCCTTTGGTTACACCATGAATTTTATTTGTAATCATAACAAATTCTTTACTACAAGTTTTAAAAAAAGTCAAAATCAGACCAAAAAGCTGAAAGAAAAGATCCCAGATCAAAGTTGCATCCCATTTCTTCTTTTGCAATGCACAACACACCCTCCTACAGTAGCATTAAATATAACAATAAAATTAATAATAATTTAATTTTATTATTAAATATATATATAAATATATATATATATTGGTGACACGTCAGCTTCCGTCACTCGCTCCTCTGTTGCCTCAAGAAGAGTACCACCGTCACAGCAGCACTCAGGAAAAAGCCCAGCCAGCCAAACGACTCAAAGCCTAGGTTTTCCAGCATGTAGCCCCCCGCCGTGGGCGAGATGGAACGTATCAAAGAGTTCACCGCCATGCTCAGGCCCAGCATCGCTCCTGAGGAACAGCAACAACAAAAAAAGAAAAAAAGAAATCAATTAAAAATTTTTCAACTATATGTGAGGCATCGTGGTGATATCAAGCGCTCGTCAAAATAACAAAATTGGAGAAACAGGCGTTTTCCCACCAGTTTCGCAATTTTAATCAAATTTTTGTTTTTTTGTTCAACTCTTTTATGTCCAAATAAAAACACATTTCCATGTGAATTATATTGAAAAACATTGATTAAAGGCACACAATATGTAATTTTTCAGTTTTCAAGGACTCTTTAGCTATTGGAGTTACAAAACTGTAGCGGCCATTTTCTCGCTAATTTCACCACTGAAACCAGGCGACCTCACCTCCTTCAATCACAAATATCTCCACTTCTGCTCAAGACAGATGGGCATTTTTTTCATTAAAAGCAAGAACAAGCTTTAAGATGTTACCAAAAACTCCACATCACAAAAATTGACAAGCGCCTGATTCTACAATGTCGTGACACATATCGTTGATGAAATACTGTCAAAGGCCAAGGTCCGATGAAACAGAGTAAATTGATGTACATCATCATCATCCAGTACCAGATTTGTGGCAGACATCGGCAATCATGGTCCTTCATTCATTCCTCTGCTCGAACACTCTTAAAAAAGCTACGTTACCCTGATCTTTCTCCGTTACCCATCTGTTTCTGTTCTGTAAGTAAGATGCTCTGAGCCTACCTCTGTCTTAAATTCTTGAATAAAAGTAGAGATATTTGCTATTGACGACGGTGGGGTTGCCTGGTTTCAGAAGCAAAATTAGCGAGAAAATGGCCACTAAAGTTTGGTGACTTCCATAGCTTAAGAGTCCTTGGAAACTGCAAATTTGCATTTTTTGTGCATTTAGTCAACGTTTTTCCATAAAATCCACACAGAAATATGTTTTTAAATGAACGTAAAAGATGTGGTGCCAAAAAACAAATTTTTTTTAAATTGTCAAACTGGAGGAAAAATGTCAATATCTTCGATTTCATTATTTCGACGAGCACCTGATTTCACCACGAAGTCTTACATATATATATAGACAAAGAACATTACTGTCATAATATGTGAGGCATCATGGTGAAATCAGGCGCTTGTCAAAATAACCAAATTGAAGAAACAGGCATTTTTCCACCAGTCAGCCAATTTTTATCGAATTTTTGCTTTTTGGCTCAACCTCTTTTATGTCCATACAAACCCATATTTCCATGGGAATTATGCTTTTAAAAAAAATTTGATTAAAGGCACGGATGTCATTTTTGTGCTTTCAAGGACTCTTTAACATAAACGGCCATTTTCTCGATAATTTCACAACTGAAACTAGGTGACCTTACCTACTTCAATCACAAATATCTTGGCTTTTATTCAAGACAGAAGGGTATTTTTTTTTCATCAAAAGCTAGGCAAACGAATAAGCTTTCAAACGAAACCAATAACTCCACATGCCTAAAAGTTGAAGAGCACCTGATTCCACCGCGTCATGACATATACGGAGAAGTAACTTCATCCCACTTCCCACAAACTGCAAGGGGGGGGCTCTCGTGACCCAGAGGTTAAGGTGTTCACCTCTCATTCACAGATCCCGGGTTCGAATCTGGGTAGCGACCGAAAAATTTTCTTCTCTAAAATTATCTTCTTTCACCTCCTTTCCTGCTCTCTAGCAATATTCTGTCATCTGCTTTCGTCTCCACTTTCTGCCCCCACGCTCTCACCTCCTTTGCCCCATCCTCTGGGCTCCTGACTCTTTCTGCTGCCTTTCTACTGCTAGTCCTCAGCTCCTTCTTACAGCAGTCTTTCAGCCACACCCCTGATCTTCTGATAGGAGAGATCTACACCTAGCCTTCTCGGACAAGGGCGAAAAATCTTGGAGGTCCCATGTGCAAGTTGTACACGTTAAAGATCCCTTGGTGGTCTAAAATCGATAAGAGTTGGCTTCGATCGCTACCCGAGCAAAATTCCAATTTCCTACCAATTGAATATGTTTAATGTGTCCTGCGCGTTCATATGACCTTATGCAATTGCAAGCGCCATTAAACACTTATCAGAAAAAAAAAAAATTAACAAAACTGCAAGGACTAGGACCTTACCTGTGTCAGAGTCTGGGACAGTGTGGGTTAAGGCACTCGTGGTCACAATGTTCTGGAAGGTGAGACCGGTGATGAGGGGCACAAAGATAATACACATCTGGAAGATGCTGGACGCATACGCCTTGAAAAAAAGAAAAAGAAAAAACATATTATACAGTCAAACCTGCTCTAACGGCCACCTGTATAAGACTACCTCCAAACAATCTGAAATACAGAGTTAAAACTGACTACAGTAGAAGACTACAACAAGAATACTGACCAGCAAGAGGTAGGAAATAGCCAGGATCCCAGCAGACCCCATCAGCAAAGTGTGCTCAGAGAAAGCTTTAGCGGCGTAACTTACACCAACACCTTGAACAATCTGATGAGAATAAAAAGAATTTTAAGTTTTAGTAAGAGTTTTACGGCACTTGCAACACAATAAGGTCATATAAGTGCCTAAGATTAGAAGTGTTACAAAAGAGTAACAAACATAAAAAACAGGAGGAGAGATCAGGACGAAAGATGTTGGAAAGGAAAGAAGGAGCAAACCACACCAGAGCACCCGCCAAAGTAAAATGATGCTAGAACAGCAAAACAGCCAATAATGATTTAATTGCCGATGCTTAAAACTTCCTGATTATGATGCATTTTAGAACTTCAAAAGTTCGTATGAAGTCTTCAAACTCACACACATACACACACACATATGTAAATATGTTATGTTCACAAACACACACACACATGAATATTACATACTCGCACACACAAGCACACATATGTATGATATATACTCACACACACACACATGTATATTACATACTCACATACACACACACAAATACACAGGCCAAGCAATTTCAGTGACAAAGTATTTCAATGGGCAATTCTGGTCACTAGCATGGTCCTTCAGCAAGAAACAACAATCTGAATTTTTTTTTTAAAAATAAAATAAAATTTAAAAAAATCAAAAGACCCTCACAAAAATCATGACACTGTAACATGGTGACCAGTAGCAGTGTGTCAGCATTGACTGCTAAATCGAAAGCCTGATCAGTTACCCTACTTGTGTGACAAATCAAAGAGGAACTGTGACTAGTTTTTTAATAAATTAGAATTGAAACTACGGAATCACTCTTATTTTTAAATGGTTATCTTGACTTTAAAAAACCCAAATCTTTTTCTCAAAACTGCTGTGAAGAAAAAAAGGCATTTTGTCAGCTTACGGCAGTATAAGTCCATTATTCTTTGAGCCAGGTAATAAAGTTGATGACTAAAAAACAACAAAAACCACCAAACACAAAAAGTTACCATGCCCATGACTCCAACATAAGACATGAGGGCACTGTTTTGTTCTGGAGGCAGTTTGAAGATTTCCAAAGTGATGATAGTAAACATACTCTGGAAAATTCCGATGGGTATACCTGAGGGAAACATGAAAAACAAAATATGGGTGTTTTAGTATTTTTCGGGGGGATTTTTTTATTATAAAAATTAAAAATTAAAAAATATATATTTATATATTTTACATTTTTTAAAACAATAATCAAATAAAATAAATTTGTTTAAAAAAAATGTTTGTTTGAGTAAACAGAATAACGAAATTTTAGGAAGATGGGAAAAGAGAGAAAGGATTTCATTTAGCCACCTGAATCCAATGAAGCTAAAGCAAAACTTGCGACTTCCGACAGGTGTTCCTGCAACTCCACATAGTAATTATCTTTATCAAAAGATAATACTAATAATAGATTGCATTTGTATAGTGCAAATTCTGCTCAACAATATGTTACAGGAACAGAAAACAACCGATTTGCAATTTGCACCTTCCTATTCCCACTTAAAAGCAATTTGCACCTTCCTATTCCCACTTAAAAGCAATTCGCTCTATTTCCCCTTCTTATTGGCTCTCAAAAGCAATTTTCACCTTCTTCTTCACTCTCAAAAAAGCAATTTTCCCCTTATTCGCTCTCAAAAGCAATTTTCACCTTCTTATTCGCTCTCGAAAGCAATTTTCATCTTCTTCTCTTCTTCGCCCTCGAAAAAGCAGTTTTCACCTTCTCATTCGCTCTCGAAAGCAGTTTTCCCCAAAGCCACCCCTAAAACACGCTTCATTTACCTGTGCCCAGCTTGATCACCATGAGGAAAAGGGCCCCAGGGGCGGCCAACAGCTGGCCAATCTTGTTGAGGCTGAACACAGTTTCACCTGCACCTGAGGATAGTCCAAAGGAAGGATCAAAGAAGTTCAACCACACATTAACAATTTTTTTTTTGTAGCCAGTGTTTTGCGGCGCTCGCAACTGCATAAGGTCATATGAGCGCACGGGATACATTAAACATTTTCAGTCGGTAGGAAATTTTGAATTTTGCACGGGTGGCGGCCAAAGTCTACTCTTATAGATTTTGGTCCACCAAGGGGTCTTTAATGTGCACAACTTGCAAATGGGACCTCCGAGATTTTTAGCCCTTGTCCGAGAAGTCTAGGTGTAGAAGATCAGGGGTGTGGCTGAAAGACAGCAGTAAGAAGGAGCCAAGGAGTAGCAGTCGAAAGGCTGCAGAAAGAGTCAGGAGTCCAGAGGAGGGGGCAAAGGAGGTGAGGGGGTGGGGGCAGAAAGTGGAGACGAAAGCAAATGACAAAACATTGCTAGAGAGCAAGAAAGGAGGTGAAAGGAGACAATTTTAGAGAAGAAAACGTTTCCGTCGCTACCCGGATTCGAACCCGGGACCTTTAAATGAGAGGCAAACACCTAAACCTCTAGACCACGAGACCCTCCAACTACACATTTGGTCACTTTTAAGCACAAGGGGGCTATCCTGAAAAAATGTTGCTTTTAGAAAATCGAAGGAAGAGCTTTTGGACCCTTGTTCAGCTTCTTTAAAAGACACGGAGAGTTTTCTCTATGTCCAAACAAATATAAACAGAAATGAAACCAAACTTCTCCTATACAAAGGGCAATGCCCACTTTTGGTGTATGTCAAGACTTTTGGAAACCCTCCACATCCGGGTTAGCCCGCTTGTCCTTAAAAGTGACCATTTATGAGGCAGCATGGTGAAATCATGTGTTCGTCAAAATACAGAAATCTGAGAAACAGGCTTTAATTGTAATTTTCCCCCCCAATTCAAAAATGTTTATCGAATTTTTAATTTTTTGCTTTACCTCATTTAAGTCCCAAAAATTCTACTAACACAAAAAAACAAACAAACCTGGCTTCTGCACTTTCTTCACTTGAGCGGGTACGAAAGTGACGATGAGGAGAACGCTGAGCAGAGAGCCAAAACACGCCAACAGCGCCCCTGTCTCCAGGCTGTTCATGTAGGGAAACAAACAAACATTGTTGAATCACACGCATATCCAAACATTCAGGTGCAGTGAAACCAACCACTTTTTGCTCCATAATTGTGGATTCAGCACTCTATTAAGACAAACTGTCTAACTTTGCCCAAAATTTTTATTTGCCAGTGTTGTAGCTTCCACAGAACCTACCCTGAATGAAGTTCCATCAAATTAGCTGGACACCCGTTCAATGAACGGACTCAAAAGAATCGACCGTCAAGTCATTGTGGAATCAGTGCACACGGTTTGTGAACGGAAGCCTCACTTGTTTACAATAGCGTCTTAGAAGACAGACTTTCCCAAGATTAGATCTAAATGAAACTAATGAAAAACTGAAAATTAAACTACAGTGACTTCAGACCCCTTAAAATAACTGTGCACCTTTTAAATGATTTTGAACCGCCGTTAATTGTTTCAAATTCGAAAGTTGAGTGGTTCGGAAGTTTTACGCAAACAAAGTGACAAACTTTCACAATATAATATATATAGATAAAATGACAAAAGGAAAGCTTCTGTTTTTCTATAACTTCTACAAATTCTGAATAAATAAACGTTTAAACAAATTACTGCGGAGGAAGAAAAGCTTTCATTTTCCAGAACTTACCTAAAAAACTTGGACACCAGCCCACCGGCGATGGGCCCCACCACCATCCCTATGCCATAGGACAGGCCAAGCTTTCCCAGGGCTGCCGCTCTTTCTTTGGGATTGCAGACGTCGGTGACGATCATCTGACCACCTGCCAAATGACCACCACACAACCAACGAATAAATAGAAAATGAATAACAAAATGAATGATGAATAAACTAACACCTACATATATAAATAATTATATAACATTTATATAGCGCATTTCCAAAAAAAGTAGCTCAATGCCCTACACATTGGAATACCCATTTTCAAAACCTTTCTTACTACTTCCTTTCTTCTCATGCAATATATACTTGTGCACACACACACACACACACACACACACACACACACACACACACACACACACACACAGACTACTTTCATTCTACAACTATAATTTTAAAAAATAATGCTAAAAGCTTTTGGAGGATAGGCCTGAATGAACAGAAAATGCGCAAGATGTCTTAAATAAAAAACACTCATATATAAATCTCTTCTGTATCAGGTAAACATTCAAAGAAGAAAAAAAAAAGTTAAAATCTACACTGCCGTAAGCTGACAAAACTAAAAAGCCATATGATTAATCAATCGCCAATACCTTGCATAGCGTGCATGAATACTGATGGCAACCTCGATATAAACAGAAGAGTCATGTTGGATGACAGATAGAGCAGGAAGTACGAACTGGCCGCTGAAAGGTAGGCCAGGATCATGGCCACGCGACTTCCAAACAGATCGCCAAAACGGCCAAACAGTGGACTGCCCGCCAACTGGACCACAGCGAATGTCGTCTGGAGGTAGCCGAAAATCACGGGGTCTGCTCCCAGACGTTTAGACAGATACTGAAACGAAATTGAATTGGAGTCCACAGGGTAAAAGATCAAGGGGAAGACCACTTGGAACCTGGAGAAGAATCACAGAAATTGATGTACAGAAAAGAGGGAAGACATGGAATAATATCAAGAGGTTAGCCCAGGATAGAGAAAGGTGGAAAGTGTTTGTCCGTGGTCTATAACCTGGCGCAGGTTGAGAAAAGCAATGATGATGATGAAATGATGAAATGAAAAAAGTTTGGCTACGCATAAAGTTGACAAAACATTCATTTGTACGGGGTGTCCTAAAAAAAAGGGTCCAATTAAAGGGTAATAACTCGGTCATCTCTATACAAATTAGACTTCCAGTATTTTCAACATTCCATATCTCCTTATGTTGAATTTTCGTGAGTCAATCTTGAGTCAAGTTTAAAAAAAATTAAAGTCATTGATTATACTGATACCAGATTAACATGTCACGGAAAAAGATTGCATAAACATTCATCAAACCACATCAGACAAGCAAAAGTACAGTGTCTAAAAAAAGGGAGCCATTTAAAGAGGGGGAAAACTCAAAGTAGCCTACTTTGCACCTAACTAAGTCATCATTAACAGAACTTTTTACCAATGAAAATCAACCCAGGGGACGTCAAGTTATTCAATGTGAAGAAAATCAATTGACGTGGTCAAGGAGTATTAAAGTTTTAACAAATTCAACCAAAACTGAATACAACACAATCTTTACTTCTTAACACTTTGTAGTCACACAGCCAGCAGTACAAAATACACCATCTGGTCACCCAGCCAGGAGAGCGACTGCAACGGACTTCTCAGGCCTGCGCCACGTGACCGGAACAGATAATTTTCATCAGCGCATTATAGCACCAAGGGATCGCAAAGTGTTAAAATTATCCCGCTACTGGGATGTGTTCATAACCCCTTCGTTGCTGAGACGTATCCACCAACTTTGTACAGGCAAGATAAAAAGTTCATGCGAGAGAGACAAGGCCATAGTATTTTTCCCCTTTAAAGAAATAAAACAGAACTTCACAGTCGTAATTACACCTCCTTGTACTACCCTGTAAACTGGTAAACAAATCATAGGAAGAGAACCAGTTTTGGAGAATATTAACCAGTATGTCAATACAGCAGTGAAGAGGTTAAATGGATCTTTAAGGTGTTGAGTCAAAAAACAAAAATTCGATAAAAATTGCCAAACAGACAGAAAAATCCCAGTTTTTTCCATTTCATTATTTTGACGAGTGCCTGATTTCACTACGATGCCTCACATATAGCAGTACAAACAAAACCTTTACAGTATGTTAGTGTTTTAGCACCCTATAAAAATGGCAGCTTGCACTGTATGCTTTTCCAAGAAGATAAGATTGTTTCAGAATGCTATCAGATCTGCTGGGGTAATGAGATTATAAAGCTCATACAACTTGCTGTTGAGTGGGAATTTGCACTCTATACAAATGTGAAGCGTGCTGATAAAATGAGTTACTTCTCGGATTCGAGCCCTATGGAAATAGAAACATCATGCTTATAGGTGAAGTTTTTACAATTTACAAGTATGAAATAATAAAAGTCACATTATACTTTAATAATAAGGCATCAATTAAGAAAATCTCTAAATTTGACCCTAGTGTCAATTTTTTGGCCAATATCTCCATTAATTGTGGATTACGAGAAATAACTAATTTTGTTAGCACGCCTCACAAATGCTATCTATTCTTCTTCTTATTATTATTACTACTACTCACCGGGAAGACAGCATTCTGAATCCAGAAGCAGGTCGAGTACAGAAATATATTCACATGGGCCACAAGAACAATCTTGTTAAAAGAGTAGCCGGCTATACGAACAGTCGCCGCTTGAGACACCTCCGCCGACTCCTTCTTGCTGTCCTCGTTGTTGGAGAAGGACATGTCGTTATAAGTCTTTGTGTCTGACTGGGTGGGCAAAGATTCCGACGACATCTGAGATGTTGGATCGTTCTCCTGCGAGGAGCCCTCTTTGGCAGTAGATCTTAAACGTGTACTATCATCCATGTCTGCAAATTTCTTTTTTCAACAAATAGGTGTTCTGAAAATTCTGTAAGGTAAAAAAATTTTTTCGCACATGATATCTGTTCTTTCTCATGGTAGATTCAAGAGAAGTTAAAAAATAAATATTAGAATTCATTTTCAAAGCAAAATGTCACATGCTAAAAAAATGTACTAGCTACACATTTATGTCCTGATACACATGCATAAAAATGAGTTGCATCCTATGTTATATGATATAAACTAAAATCTTGAAATTTTTATCGAGAGAGGCCAGTGTCTGTGTGGTGTGGCAGTTAGGTGCATCAACACTGTGAACAGAAAATGTGTGAGCTCGATTCTCATGTGGGGAAGACTTTTATTATATTGAGTATCTCTGTCTTTCTGCTGGGGCAGTGTACCCCTCTCAGTTTATGGCGACCCCAGTGCTTTCTTGTCGTATCTCCATTTTAATAACAGTGAAAACATTTCATAACAAAGAGTGAGCCTAAGACGATATCCCAATTTCATTGTTTAAAAAAATGGACATATGACAAGAAAGCACTGAGGTTGTGTATGTTGGCACTGGCAGGCAGAGTTCTCTCTCTCTCTCTTCTGGGCACTGTGGTGTCATAAGTGGTCAGCGATGTGGACAGCACGTAGGAACGCAATTCTCGCTCGGGGGTCCTTAACACTTTGCAGTCACACGACCAGCAGTACAAAATACCCCATCTGGTCACCGAGCCAGGAGAGTGACTGCAATGGACTTCTCGGCACCAGGTGACCGGAGCGGATAATTTTCACCGTCGCGTCACATTCCGCCAAGTGACCGCAAAGTGTTAAAAAGTGCTGTACACGGGTCACTGAAATGTCCCACCAGCAGACGTGGTTTGGCCGGCAGAGTTGGAGCAGCAAACCTCCTTAATGATCTAAACTGCACCGAATAGTGAGTTAAACACCCATAAAATTACATTATATTACAATTACCGAAAGATGAGTTGGACTTCTAATTACTGAAACCACAATAAGTCAGAAAAGAATTCTTCCCTCCGCAGTAGACACAGGACACAGATTGCTCGAGTCAAATCCAACGACTGCTCTCGTACTGTATCAAACCAAGTAGAGCAATATTCTTTCTAGTCAGGTGATAAACAGTCACACTCAGCTCACTGTCTCTTTCTCTCTCTGTCTGTCTGTCTCTCTCTCTCTCTCTCTCTCTCAGATCTATGCAAACACACTTGAAGCTTTCGAAGGGTAGCTTGAATATTCACAGGAATTATTCATGATGACAGTTGTTATGAGACAGTACGCGAAACGAGTAGGGTAGACTAAACAAAAATACGTTGGATTTTTCCGAATTGGGCGTAACAAAAGGGCCTCACATTCAGCATCCATATCTGTGGACAAATAAATTACAAGGCCAGCTGTTACAGATCCATCATCATAGATGTAAGCCAGTCTAATTTTGGGGCACATCTTGACGCTTTCATGACTGATTACAATAAAAGGAAATCAATGAGGACTGCACACCTCTAGCAGGGAGCACAGTCCACACTTGTGGACAAAGACTACAGAAATCAAGTAAGTCTCGGTCTGTATCTCTCTGTCTATCTGTATATCTCTTTGTCTGTTTGTTTGTCTGTCTGTCTGTTTGCAGATCTGCATGTGTGTGTCTGTCTGTTTGCTCATTTGTTTTTAGATTGCTTATCTGTGGTCTGTCTACTGTCTGTCTGTCTGTGCGTGTGTGTGTGCGTGTGTGTGTGCGTGTGTGTGTGTGTGTGTGTGTGTGAGTGTGTGTGTGTGTGTGTGTGTCTGTCTGTAGATGTGATTGTACATCTGTCTGTCTGTCTGTGTGTAGGGTTACAGATAGGTTAAACACTTAAGGCACATTACTGCAACTTAGTAATAAGCACGGTCTTTAACAGGGAACCAATGATATTCAATGTAGCTGTAAAAGCAACGGCGTTGTGTGTTCTCTGATAGACCTTTTGAGAACAACTCTCGCAGCTTGGTTCAGGAGGGTTTTTTTGCATTTAATCCAACAATTCTGTGGTATGTTTATAAGGGTAATGAGTTGCAATTGTCAGTACGAGATAATACAAATGATGACATTTAGTGCCTTATGAAATCTCTCACTTTAAAAAAGTGTCATTTGTGCATTTTTTCTTTTTTCCAAGGTATCATTTCAAACATCCTTTCTATGGCTGTGAATGCTGGACAATCACTAAAGACACAGAAAATAAAATACAAGCAACAGGTGGTTTCTTAGGAGACTGCTAAGAATATCTTAGAAAGAAATCTCAGAAATTGAGTTTCTTAGGAAACTGCGGAGAATATCTTGGAAGGAAAAGAAATCAAATGAGGTAGTACTTGAAGCCCACGTGGGATGCTCGCCAATAAAAACAATCAAGAAAAGGCAAATGCAGTTTCTAGGACACCTGAATAGACATAAAGGCCTTGAACATCTTGCTCTCACTGGAAAAACTGAAGGCAAAAGAGGCAGAGGTAGACCCAGAGCAATCTACTTGGACAGCCTAAACAGATGGGTGAAAGGGAAAGACCAACAAAATGTAATTTTTTTAAGAGCATCCGAACAAAGGAATGAAAGGAGAACCATGATTGCTAATGTCTGTCGCAGGTATAGCACTTGATGATGATGATGATCACTTCAAACAGGGAATCCCCTTGTGCAGTAAGACATGTGTGTGTGTTGAAGGTGTGACTCTTTTGTTACTCGTAAAACTTAATTGGGAAAAGTTCAAAGTATGTATTGTGTATGCCAACAAAGAGAGAAATTACGTCTTTCTTCCGAGTAGAGTGAGGGTCCCAAAACAACAACCTGTCCAACACAACCATGCCCATTATATTTTGCTTAAAAAAAACATCTTTTCTAAAAAGGTGATCAAGCAAATCTCTCATCACACAACATAATGCCATAAATTATATGATTAGTATTAGGCCCCTGATACTCGAGACAAGCCATCAATATCCATTCCCCTGTTGTTATAGTAAGCCCCTCTTCTTATGAATGAACGAATCATTCAACAGCAAATATAATATGTGCTTTATAAACTGTATTTTATTACCTCAGCAGACACTAAGAAACACTCTCGGCTTCCCGGGAAACATACAGTGCACTGATTAAAAGCACTCAAAAACTAACAACCTGACAAGATCTTTTGCTGTTTATAGCCGGGAACCTATTCCCGCATGAGTGAAATGAAAATTAATGTAAAGTACCATTTCTCTAAGGATACAACACGTCAGCCCCCTGATGGGATTGAGCCAATGACCTTACGGATGAGAGTCCATGAGCCAAACCACTTGGCCACCAATGCCATTTATAAATGAAAAAGAAAAAGAAACAAAAATAAGGAGAGAAGGTACAGCTTTACTTTCTTCTTCCCATGACTATTCTAGCTGCCTCATTAAGCTAATCTAAGCCCCCACCCCCACTAATTAAATAATCACAAAACAAAATTTAATAAGTGTAGAAAAGTATTCTTTAAATAGACCTTCTAATCATTTATTTATATATATAATTATATATATATATATATAATATATATATATATATATATATATATTAGATATGTTCTAGTGAATGACTCAGCTAAATTTATGCAAGTTTTTTAAATATCCAGGTCTTACAACATAGGCCTATTTAGTTTTCATCTTTTAAGTTGTCAGGATTATAATCCGGTCTTGACCCCCCCCCCCCCCCCCCCCCAAAAAAAAAAGAAAGACAAAAAAGATAACTCGTATTTTTTAAATCTAAAAATGGTCCCCCTTGATTTACTGCGGCTAAGCCAAAACTAAAATTCAACCACCAGAGTGCAGATCTACTTTAATGATTTGATTCGCAAAGCCGCTCTGGCATGACTGACCGAAGACGAATCAAGCCCGAAAGTAGGCTTAAATACGGGGTGCCCATTACGGATGGGATTGGCAGGTCGAGCTGATCGCCCAACTCAGCCACCTGAAAACAAACTGGTTTAGAAAGAGTCTGCGAGTCGGGCACGTTTGTTTTCAGGCAACCCGAGTCGGGTGATCTGCCCAACCCGCTGTTCCGTAGTCTGGCGTAGTGGACACCTCGTGTCGTATGAATACAGGGTGCCCATTAGATCTAAATCTATGGCTGCATCGGGCCAATCGCCCAACTCGGTCGCCTAACCTAAAACGAATTCCAACCTAAAAACTGAAAGCCAACACACGTTTGGTTCTGAGGCCACCGAGTAGGGTGATCAGCCCAACCCAACGATCCCATCCGTAATGGGCACCATGTATTAGCCTACTTTCCGGCTTGATTCGTCTTCGATCAGTCACGCCGGCGCGGCTTTGCAAATCAAATTATTATTATGAGGCTAAAAAAAAGCCAGTGGCAGTGTGATACGATACGACAATAATACGTCGATGGCGTCGATCTCCAAAGGTCTCCAATGTTGATGCTGGAGATTTAAATAAGATCTAATCTAATTCTTTTAAAAACAAACCTTAGCTTTATCGAGACCAGAACAAGTCATTTCAGAAGACCCTTTACTTCAGGGAAGACTAAAGAACACGTTGATAAAGTTGAAAATAGCTTTGTCAGACCAAAACAAACTAGGCCCCTTTTACAACAAGTAAACGGAAGTTGTTCGTGGGTGTGTTTCCTCAGTCATAGGTGGAGTTCGACGATAGGCTAGGCCAGTACAAGAGAAAAGTAAACAGCGAAATAGGATGTCCACGAATGTTCCCTTGTTATTGAAGGAACCCCCGCCCATTCTTCCCGATCAGCTTCTAATTTCTAATAATTTATATGACGATGAGTATTTAAGTTAAATAATTGAATTTTGATATGTTAATGTAAATCAATCTCATCAAAACAAATAGATGAATGTCTCCAGAAGTGGTGCACATAAAATATGACCCCCAAAAATCTCCAGGTGTTTACATTGTTGGAGGCCTGTGACCCCTTTGAAGTATCTTGAGACAGCCCATTCACCTTTGCCAGCTGGATGTTGGTGCACAGTTGTGCACAGTGTCGGTGCAGTGCTACGTTGATGAATGCTTTTTGGGCTTTGGAATTGCAATCACAGAGACAATGAACTTGGTGACCATGAGTTGGTCGGGGATAGTTAACCATGCTTTCTTCCTGTATTTTCTGTTTTCCTTGCACGGCATTGCTGCAAGCAGCAAAGACCTCCAAATCAAAACAGAGGTAAGACCATCAACTTCGATTCTTTGCTCACTCAGAAGGCTGACATGGCCGTGTTTTTGGCCTTTGGCTAGGCCTGCACTTCAACTTCCTTCTGGATCATGAACACAATAGACAGACGACTGGGCGTTAACTAGCGGTGACTGTGCCTGAAGTAACATACTTGATTACAATGATGCATTATGATGCAGATAGATATTGAGTTAAAGTGATCCGTGTGATCAGTGCTCCAGGCTCGACTTGCTTTCCAAATTCCAGCCTCGCTTTTCCAACTTGCTCTAGTCTAGTCTGTCTAGTCTCTGTTAAAACACCACTTAGCCCTATCTATGTTATTATTACAAGAAATGTGCTAGAGTTTTGAATTGCTAGATCTAGATCTAGTGCTAGATATTGATCTCGCCTAAATTCTAAGTGATGCTTTTGCCTTAAATAATAGAGGGAAATGTGAAGTGCACACATCACAATAATCACATTTAGAAATCTAGTGCTTTGTACCCCATTCCTTAACTTTTTGCAAGTGAAAGTGGCTATTCTCTGGCGTCGTTCCGGTCAATAGATTGAGGGCTATTATCCGGCGTCATGTATTATTGTATAGGGGGGGGGGGGGGGCGTGGCATATTAATTTCACACCACCGGCTACCCAGAAAAGCTTCAGTGCTGCTCGAGCACTTTCACACTCACTGGTGAGAGATTTCACACCCACTCCACCCTGACCACCTGCACCGCTCCGAGAGAAAGCAATTTTTTGTTTCATTTCCTCATTAGGCAGGTTTCCGTTTTATAGAGAGGTAATTATAGAGGAATTTATCAAGAGGGTGAGCAGGGAAATTCTGTTGTCAGTTTCAAGTTTCGACTGTATATATATGACAATGCATGACCATTAGGAAATACCATGAAAAATTTTTGTGTACAGTAGCACGATGCAAGAGAAGATACTAGGTTGTAAACGTTTTAATTTATTTTTGCAAAATTTAAATAAATGTGTGTGTGCAAATGAGTGTGTTGTTGGGTATCTACCAAGGAGAACCAGTGGTTTCAAGGTTTTGCAGATCATTTAAAAAAATCTTTTTTCCTTTTCTGTTGTTTCAAGTATGAACCGGAGGAATGTTCAGAGAAGTCAGCAATGGGAGACACTGTGGCAGTCCATTACACGGTGAGTAATTACAAACTATTGTCATTTCATTTTCGCACCTGTGTCTCTCTCTCTCTCTTTCTCTCTCTCTCTCTCTCTCTCTCTCTCTCTCTCTCTCTCTCTCTCCCTCTCTCCATGTCTCTCTCTCTCTCTTTCTCTCTCCCTCTCTCCATGTCTCTCTCTCTCTCTTTCTCTCTCTGTCCATGTCTCTCTCTCTCTCTCTCTCTCTCTCTCTCTCTCTCTCTCTCTCTCTCTCTCTCTCTCTCTCTCTCTGTCTCTCTCTCTCTCTCTCTCTCTCTCACTTTCACAAACCAACACACACACACAGAGTTGGAGCTACAACGGCAACAACATGTGTGTATAAGAATAAGCAGCCACTTTCCACTCTCCTATTTGTACATTTTTTTCTGAATGATGGTACTTTTTAGATGACTACCTGTCCAGTGTTGCCATGGCCACTGTATTCTATCAACCAATAGTCCTGTAGACTCTTGTGAATGTGGGTTGATTTTCATTGATTTGTTTATGTCATAGGTTTTTTTTAGAGCGTCTGACATTAGCGGAAAGAAGCATTAGAGAACATTGTAACAACAGGAAAGTTTGATGGAAAGAGAGGTAGAGGCAGACAGAGGGAAAAGATACTGGACAAGATGACAACATGGCTGGGAGCAGCAAGAACAACAGACACCATTGCTGCTTCGAAAGACAGATGGAAGTGGAGGTCCATGATCGCCCACGCCAGTCGGCAAGGCACCGGATGATGATGATGACATTTTCTTAATGATTTATTGAAAGAGCACCAAGTGTCTATATTGTTTAGGTGCACTTTTTCCCTTTGGTAGGCCTATGAGGAAAAAAAAAATCGCATGTCCAGACTACAAGCATTGGAGAATTTGTTTTACTATGAAACACTTACACATGTTTTATGTTAGAACTGTTCTCTTTCCCAGGGTTATTTGGAAAATGGAAAAGTCTTTGACTCTTCCATTAAGCGGAACCGTGACCCAATAGCTTTCACTCTTGGAAGAAAGCAAGTTATCGATGGTGAGTCTGCTCTCTGATGACATTGTGGTGGCTTAAAAATCTTGCTCGTCTTTGGTGGGTTGTTGGCAGGTGCCCTGGTGTGGTTTGCTTGTTCTTTCGTTTCTTTCCTCATTATCTGCCCTCCTTCTTTTTTGTGTTTGTTACTCTCTTGTAACACCTCTGATCTTCGGCACTTATTATATGACCTTATTGTGTTGCAAGTGCTGTAAAACACTTACCTTTACTAAAACTTGCTTGTCTTTTGGATGGCTTATTTAGCCATAGTAAATGATGTGTGATATGTCATGTGATGAGTTGATGAAGGGTTGATGATATAACTTTGAAACTTTTTTTGTGTGCATATATATATTTTTATATATATATATATATATATATATATATATATATATATATATATATATATATATATATATATATATATATATATATTATGTAAGGCTGCATTTTCGTGATAGTGTCAAATTGTGAGATCTTTGGCAGATTGTGAGTGATGTCTGTTTGTAGTTGTAACATCTTTGTTGTAGGATAAATTCTCTTACACACAGATTTGATGGCAAAACTAGTGCTATCAAAAAATTCAATATATAAATGTCTCTTTACTCCAACAATCAGATGGTGGTGGTCTAGTTTTGGTTACCTCCTTCTTGCTCTTGTCACAAGACGTTGTCTGTCGTTTGAATGTCACTGCAATTTGGTGCCATTAGATATTCTGTCGTGATGTGTATTAACCCTAGTCTTCTGGATGGTCCGATTTCCCTAGAAGCCTGTAAGGGGGCCTCTCAGACCCCACTATTTATCCTTTGTATTTTATGGATAAACTTGGTGGTTGACCATCATTTACAGAAACTGAAACACAGAAACGTTGAAACAAAACACCCAAAACTACACATACTGAAATAATCTGTTTAACGAACACATTTATTGAACTTTATATATCATATATTAGTTGGTGAACAACTTTGAATGAGGTTAGACTGAAGAAATTTATGCAATTTTTTTTACTAATGATTGTGGGTCGGTCATGTCATGAGCTTGCTGTTTTTATTGCTGAATAATGAGATTGAATTTAATAATAATAATAATAAATAGCATTTGTACAGTGCATAACCCTGCTCAACAGCAAGCTCTATACGTTTTACGTAAACCCTATATTATTACCCTAGCGGACCATAGAAGAACACTCAGAAACATTCTCAGCTACCCAGGAAGCATACAGTGCAAGCAGCTGATTATGCGCTCAAACACAAACTGACAAGATCTTTCACTGTTTATAGCTGGGTACCCATTCCCACCTGGGTGAAGTGAGGAAACTTCATGTAAGGTGCCTTTCCCAAGGACACAACATGGGCCCATGACGGGATTCGAACCCACGACCTTGCGGTTGCGAGTCCGAGAACCTAGGCCACCGACGCCACTAGCTGATTTAGTTGACAAAATTAGATTGATATTGTCTAAATTTGTCAGTCTCTTATATCTTCCTCCTCTTAGAAGGCTTGACCTGACAGATCCTCTCTGACCTTAGGACAACTTTTTTTGCGAAAAAGTCATGGCTTTATAAATTTTGTCGCTTGGGTTATAAGCACGGGTGAGTTACCATTCTTTATATCTATGTCTCAAGAAAGGAATTATGTGCTCTTTCTTTTTTGTATAATAATCTGGCATTACCGTGGTGTTTCGACAGGATGGGAGCAAGGTCTCGTTGGAATGTGTGTTGGGTGAGTTTTGGTTACGGTTTGTTTTTTGTTTTTACCACAATAAACCCCATCCTCACGTTTTCTTGTGACTTTAACTAAATGGTTGTTTTAAGTTAATCAGTTAATCACCCTCCCAAACTTAATGTTGGTAATTGCAAAGGTGGAGCAAGTAATTTGTATTCACTTGTATTATGATGTTGTGTAAGAATTTTACTGTTTTCTACTGAATTTTGTGAGCAGTTTATATATTTTTAAAACTTTTGTCATGCATAAATATCTTTTATAAAGCCTGAGCTATTTTCTCTTTTTAGTTACAAAAGGTAAGAGGTCTCTTTTATCACTCTTGTTTACCCAACAAAATCCATATATAATGATATTTCTGAGCCTGTGTGTTAGTTTCTGAATCTCCCATAAAAGCTGTGTTCTCTATGTCTCATAAAGGCTGTCTTCTCTGATCTCTCTATCTCTATCTCTCATAAAAGCTGTACTGTCTGCTCTTATGATCTCTCATTCTCTATCTCTCATAAAAGCTGTACTGTCTTCTCTTATCTTTCATTCTCTATCTCTCATAAAAGCTGTCTTCTCTGTCTCTCCACCAGTGAGAAACGACGCCTTGTGATTCCCCCACACCTCGCCTACGGTGAATCCGGATACCCTCCCGCTATACCACGTAAGATTTTGGCAGAATGCCACCCATTGTTTCCATGTAGCAGCTATGATTCTGGAAACAAAAGGTTTTCTGACAAATTAAAAAACAGTTAAATGAATAGCATTTATTGTATAGATTTAGTGCATATTCTACGGTCAACATCACGTGCCTTGCCATGCTACGTTTTCTGTTACAAAGACTTTAGGTTGCTCCTTCTTTCCTATCAAACGCCTATTATCCTGATCTTTCCCCCTTCATTTTTGTGTTTGTTACTCTCTTGTAACACCCTCTAATCTTCGTCACCTAGATATATATTGTTGGTCCTGATTTTTTCCCCAGATCCCGATTTTTTCCCCTCCCCTTGCGATCCTGATTTTTAGATTTCATAGAGTTGCAAGTCTGTAAACATGTCCCTTAACTCTTTCACTACCGCGCGCCGTGTTTCACGGTGGCTCATGCTACTCCCAACACTGGACAACTAGCTGTGTTTTACGGCTCACCACTTCCTGCTTCAACACCATAGGCCTACCTACTTTTATAATAAATCAAAACTGAAATCTCAAGTGGAAGAATGATTTTTTTTAGCATCATGTTAGGTCATTATTTCCCCTTTTTTTTGGTGTAATAATACATGTGGCTGATATTGAAAATTGAATTCAAAATATTTTAATTTGTCTGAGGGTAGGCAGAATCAGAAAGTAGGTCACAGATAGGGCCCGCCCGGTCACGGTGAGGAAAACCCCGTGGTAGTGAAAGAGAGAAATGTCACTGTTCCTTTCAAAGACTTACATATATATTATATATATATATATATATATGTATATATATATCTCATCTCACCCCTGTTTGTGGGTGGTTGGCGGGTGCTCTGGTGTGGTTTGCTCCTTCTTTCCTTTCAAACATCTATCCTCTTTATCTCTCCTCCTTCTTTTTTGTGTTTGTTACTCTCTTCTTGTAACACCTCTAATCTTCGGCACTTAAGTGACCTCATAGTGTTGCAAGTGCCGTAAAACTCTTACTAAAACTTTTTTTTTTTAAATAAAATTTTAAGACTTACTTACATGATATATATAATATCTCATCTGACCCCATTTGTTTGCCCGTCCTGTCCCATCTTCTTTGATTCAGCCCAGGCCACGCTGCTGTTTGAGACGACCCTGGTGAGCATCACCAAGAACTCTAGCAGCAGCCCCTACCAGGTAGAGGACGTCCTGAGCCTGGTCAAGGTGCTGGGCCCACCCCTCGTCATCGGCTACCTCTGCTACTACATGTACAGCAAGTACAAGGAAGAGGCGCAGATTGCCAAGAGCCTGAAAAAACAGAAGAAGAAGCGGTGATGTGTGTGCTCTCATGTTGCGGATGATAGCTCGTGTTTGGTTTTTGATT